GACGACGTGTAAACGTGACCAAGTGTCGGCCCGACCTAGCGTCCGTGTAGTGACTCACTCGCTGGCTCGCAGGAGAGAACTGGTGAACCCCCGCATCCTGCAGGTCAGCACCACTCACCAAGTTCGTAGAGAACGAGGGGAGGTAAAGACCAGACAGGGTGCCAGAGGGGGCCGCCGAACACGGGAGGACTGTGGAGAAGTGAGCAAGGACAGGACCCCCAGAGGGGTCTGCCAGAGTGACTGCAACTGGCTGACCAAGCGGCGTGAGTTTTGTGCGGTCTCGAAAGAAGGAGCGAAAAGCCCCCGAGTCAAGGGTGAAGGTGTGGGAGGCCGGAGCCGGCGAAGTACCTGAGAGAACAGACTCACTAGTACTTGAGGAAGCAGACGCACTAGCACCTAGAGCAGCAGCCTCACCAGTACTTAGAGCAGCAGTCCCAATGCCCGGGCCGGGCGGAAAACACGGGTAACAGTCACCCTCATCACTAATAGTCACAGCATACATGGCAGCAAGAATAGCATCAAAGTCAAGGTCAAAGATAGCTACTCACGCCCTAGACAGCTCGCCCCAGCGAGGGATCTCAGTGGCCTAAGGGAACTGGTGACGCCAAGCGTCCGTCAGGCGGCCAAAGCAGCGCTGGGTGGAGTGCGCACCCCCGCACTGCTCACCCGCGCGGTCGCCGGTGCGGAGGACGTAGGTGCACGGACCAGTACCCCCACCCCGCTGGCGTGCAGCGTACCACTCACAAAGCTGCTGAGGGGGGGGGATCTCACGAGTGCGTTGCTGCTGCTGCTGCTGGCGCTGACCACCACCGGAGCCGACCCTCTGCGCAGTGCCACCCCGACCAGCTCCACCTCCTCCGCCGCCGCCTCCTCCACCGCTGCCACCTCCGCCAGCTCCGCTCCCACCGCCACTGCCGCCGCGGTCTCCGTCTCCACTGCCGCCACCGACGCCCCCACCCCCGCCACCACCCCTACCGCCACCCCCACCCCCTCTGCCGCCTCCACCGCCGCCTCCACCGCCCCCGCTAGCTCCTCCAGCGCCCCTGCCCCCCTTGCCCTTGCCAGGGCGGCGTCTTCCACTAGGGGTAGACGCCGCACCGACCGACTCAAGACCAACATGGTCGGCCGCAGCAGCAGAGGCAACAGAGGGCAAGAGAGGAGAGGGGGAGCACCCCTCAAAGACAGGGGCACGAGGGTCACCACGAGAGGCTCCTACAGCAACTATGCTCTTTTTTGCTGCTAGGAGGCGCTCCTCGAGGAGGTCAACGGTTAGGGTGGTGGGGCAAATAGAGAGAAAGTGGTCCCTGACCGGGCAAAGGGTGTGAGGGAGGCGGGTGACTATGTAGTAGAGGGTGATGTACATAGCGGGAAGGGCAGCGCGGTAGCAAATGTCACTAGTGCGAAGGTGCGTAATGAGGTCAGCGATTGTGGGAAAAGCTGCAAGGTCAGGGAAGAGGTACGGTAGGATGAGGCGGCTAAGTGCAACAGTGGCAGGGGAAGAGTAGCGTGCAACTACAGCGTCGTACAAGGTCTTAGCACTCTTGTACTCGCTAAAGTGCGCACGCTCAGAGGTAGGCAAGTGGCGACGCACTGCAAGACGTGCAGCAGCATCGCGTGTGGCCCACTGTGAGCGAACAGTGGCGTCGGCATCAGCAGTAGGGGCAGGAGAGGCACCAGAAGTGAGGTCAAAGAGGGAGAGACCGTCTGCCCTATCGCACTGTAGGAAAAGCTGCAGGTCATCTACCCAGACGTCAAAGTCAATGGCCCGACCCTCAGCGTCAAAAGCGAGGACACTCGGGGTAGCCATGACAGCAGTAGACTAGCAGCGCGAGCAGCAGGCTAAGGGCAGTGCAGTGCTAGAGGTGCTGCTCTTACCGGGCAGGCGAGAAGGACCGAGGCTCGCCAGCAGGAACAAGGCCGCGACTGCAGTGGCCGGGTGTAGCGGACAGGGCGGCTCGGGCGGCTCGGCAGCTCGGTGGCTCGGGCGGCTCAGCGACTTGGCGGCTCGGGCGGCTCGGCGGCTCGGGCGGCTCTGGCGGCTCGGGCGGCTCGTCAGCAACGGCGGCTCGGCAGCTCGGGCGGCTCGGCGGCTCGGGCGGCTCGGCTGTTGTTGGGACAGCGGCGAGTGCTGCTCCAGGGACGGCGGCGGCCTCTGCTGTAGGGACGGCGGCGGCTGCTGCTGCAGAGGCGACGGCGGCCGCTGCTGCAGGGACGGCGGCAGCCGCTGATGCAGGGACGGCGGCGGCGGCCGCTGGTGCAGGGGCGGCGGCGGCCGCTGCTGAAAGAGGCGGCGCCGGCTGGCCGCGAAGGGCGGCGACAGGGGCCGCGGAATGCGGCGCGGGAGGCCGTAAGGGGCCGCGAGAGCGGCGTGAGGGGCCGTAAGGGGCGGCGCGAGGGGGCGACGGGTGGCGCGAGGGGCTGTAAGGGGCCGACGGGCGGCGCGAAGGGCCGTAAGGGCGGCGCGCGGGGCCGTAAGGGCGGCGCGCGGGGCCGTGAGGGCGGCGCGAGCGGCCGTAAGGGCGGCGTAAGGGGCCGTGAGAGGGGCCGCTAAGGGCGACGCGAAGGGGCCGTGAGGGGCCTAGAGAGAGCGCGACGGTAGGGAGGGCACGCGGGGCGCGACTCAGTCAGGAGCGAAGCGCGCTCCGGGCAAGAAAAAAAAAATTCGAGGTGGGCCCTAGAAAGCGTTCCCACTAGGGAACCTGCTCCGAAACCATGAGGAGAAACGACGAATGAAATGACTAAGGTAAAGTTGGGTACAAGTACAAAGCCTAGGAAGCTGTAGCCCATATGTGCTACCCTACTATAGCCTACAGCAGCTAAGTCATATAAATCTGACAGAGTATACAATAGTGTTTCAATAATCACTTTTCGTAACAATTTTGACCTAGGCAGCCCGGATGTATGTTAAATCGGCCAAACGTGCACTTCGAAAATTGGCGTTGTACTCGAAGCAGTAAAATCTTGTTAAGGAGAAACTTTTAAGCTTACTATTTGTTGTAGAAAAGGTATGGGAAAATATGTCAATGGTAACTTACATGGGGCACTATAACGCGTACGGTAATGATTTCAACGCGTTTAGTAACTTGCTTAACGCGTTTGGTAACTCGCTTAACACGTTTGGTAACTCGCTTAACGCATATGGTAACTTGTGACTGTATTTGTAATGAATGTGAATTCATTACTGTAGAGGCTACTCCTAGCGAGGACAGCCTGAACTGTTCGCGTCAGTTTGGGTTCAGCCTACACTTCGGCCCGAACCACTCCCGAGTCGCCTCGCACCAATCGCGACACTTCCAACCCATACAGTCCCGAGGTCCTCGCCTACCACGGTTTCGACCCTATAAATGCATGCCTCTATCATTCTGGTGAATTCTGTAGTTCACATCCTTTTTATTAAGTCTTCTGCGCACTCTTCTTAGTACAACTCATAACAGTGTTTCCACGCATTTGGTAACTCGCATGACGCATGTGTGATCACGGCCTAAGAGTGTTGGTGGTTTCGGTTCAAAGCTTGATCGCCATATTTCCATCGGGTTCCAGGAAGTTCGCAATTTCCGTTTCGCACAGGGGCTTAGAGAAACTGCTGGTAACCGCCCTCTCCGACACTAAGGTACCCAACCCTGCACTGCCACGTAGCCCTCAACTCAACCTCCAGATGGTTCGTCGGTGTTGCTGCTGAGCTGACACCATTCCTACACCAACGGACGGAGACGACCCGAAGCGCGGGCAAGAAGAAGCCGAAAGAAACCGCGCGAAGGCTCTGACTGCTGGCGACGCGGGCCGGTCGAAGCGCGCGATAAATTCACTGCCCCCGCCTACGGCCAGCCGAGCATGGGAGGGGGGGAGAAACTGGCAGGCCCGGGACGGGAGATAGAATGACGGTTTTGACAAATCTAACGTGGAGGAACGAGGAAGACAGAGGAGACGCCTGCCTGAAGCACCGTTTGCCTCCCATATAAGTGCCAACAGGGAGAAGTGCATCCTTGCGTGTGAAGTGGAGCCTGAGGAGCTTGCTGCTGCTCAAGGCACTCCCAACCTCGGCCGACTCGCCGTTTTATCTTCCAGGTCCACTCTTATCGACCATATCTGCTAGCTTTGAATATGCTCCCGTCACTCGCAGTCCTCAAAGGCTAGTTCTGCAAGCAAACGTAAAAGAATATGAAAAATTCACCCTTTGTACTACGACGTCCCGAGATGCGTCGACTAAATATGGTAGCTACTCCCACCATAGCCTGCAACCGAATCTAAGAAGCTCGAATTCGGATACTATCAATACTGCAGCTAAATGAACTCCTAGTGTAGGCACCTGAAACCGGCCCAGAAGAACGGCCAGCCGCCTGTAAAGTTGTAAGCCATCAAATTCGAAGACTCTCCAGTCGACTTTGACAAGACACTGGAAAAACCGGTGCATATACTTCCTCAAATCTCATACACTCCCTCAAACCGAATATTCTCCATATCTGCCGGCGATGGACTTTTCGCCAGCCTTCGCCACGGGGCCTCCCAGCTCCCTCCATAAGCCTTCCGTCGCGGGGCGAATAGGCAACTGGCGAGCCCGGGCTGATGAAGGTTTTCTCATGCTGCCCATTCCCGAGGAGGCCGAGCTCGTAGAGATGAGCGCGGAGGCGGGTGCCTCGCGCGCGGCATGGCGCGCGCAGGCGCTGCTGGGGATAATCCTGGGGGAGAAGGACAGCGCGTCGTTCAAAGAGGCGGAGACGAAGGGCGGCAGGGCAGCAGCGGGGGGAGCGGGGATAGAGTGGGGAGCGGGGGACAAAGGCGAGGTGGCGGAGGCGGAGGCGGAGGCTGCGGCTGAGGCTGCGGCGACGGCTGCGCTACGGCATGCTATGGCAGGGGCGACCAAGGACGCTTCGACACGTGTACTTAGCGACTCCGTCGGATATAACGACACCAGCAAACCCGGCGTCGCCGCATGCGGCGGTGACGGCGGCGGCGGTGCTGGTAATAGTAGCGTCTCGCGGTGGCGAGCTATCGCAGCTGCTATGCTGGGTAAACGGGCAGCGGAGCAGCCCCCGCCGGCAATCCCAGCGTACGACGCTCGCGCAGCGATGGAAAATACGCTGAAGGCGGAACACGACTACGCGCGCTCGCCGAACACATTCGAGGCGGCGCAAGGGGCTGCCCACGCGGATTCCCACCAGCCCAGGGGAGGCGGCGGATGGTGGTCCGCCTGGTTCGGGGACAACGGCCGGGGCAGCGCGGAGCACGGGCGGCACTACGGAAGGATGGCGCAGCAAAGTCAGGCGGAAATGCACACAAAACCAGATGCGGCCGCGGCCGTAGCGCACCAATCGGTGTACGCCACGAAACCTCGCGAACTTGAGTTGAGCAATCCGCCGTCCCCGTTTTCCGTCTCCCCGCCGTCGTCTGGCGCGTGCTCTCCGCCCACCTCCGCTTCCTCCTCGTCCTCCTCCGCATCCTCCCCCGAATCTTCCGCCTCCGCGCAAGAAGGCGCTCCGCCAGAGCCCTGCTACTTGCACGAGGATGGCCGGGCGGGCGGGAGCGGGGCGGAAGGCGGCGGTAGCAGCGAAGGAATCGGAGAAGGGGAGGCGGGCGGGCGGAGTAGGCCAGACGCGGAAGCCCCTGTGGTTGGCTCGTCCATGGGCTTCGCCATGCGCGGAGCAGCCGGAAGCGCAGCGGGTGCGGACGGCAGAAGCGGAGGCGGAGGCGGAGGTGGAAGCGGAAGCGGAAGGGGACAGGCTTGGGGTTGGCTCGAAGGGGAAGAGGCGGAAGGGCAGGTGCAAGCGGACGTACGCGCTATAGAGAACCAACAGCACGCGTTAAGGCATGCCCTGGAGCGCGCGCAAAATCGCCGCGGGGAAAGTGCTGGAGGAGGAACCGCGCAGGTTGGGGCGGAAGGCACAACTGGCGCAAGCGCGGCGGAAGCGGTAGGACCCGCGGGCCTCCCCGCGAATCTTATGACCGCGTGGCGAGAAGCTTGTGTCGAGTCTGAGGAGGATAGGCTGGGCGGAGCGCATGTAGCACGACGTAAGGACGTCGACGGTAACGTTTTCAGTTACGGTTATGGTTACGGTTACGATCGCCCCGTTTGTTCCGCCGCGGGAACGACGCCTTCCGATGGGAGAACCTCCCTCCGTAATCCGCGAAGCGTCGCCGTGAAACCCGGCGGCGCGAAAAACTCCCTCTGGCTGGGGGTCAAATCCTGGGCCGCGTCGCGATCTGCAGCGCGGAGGCGAGCGGCGGCCGTCCCGCGAGCGCAGCGGGAGGGGGAGTGGGCCGTGTGGGGGATCGGGTTCGCGGTGTTTGCGTTGGTGAACGTGCAGCTCATCACCGGGTGCGCGCTCCTCTGGCTCTGCCTCCCCGAGGCGTGGTCCGCCACCGCGCGCGCGGCTGTCGCGGGGTGCGCCAGCGCGCTCGTGGCGGCGCAGCTCGTGGGGAACGTCGTCGTGGCGGCGTTTGCGCGCGCAGCCGTGCTGCGGGAGTTTCTCAGGCGGAAGATGAAGGCCGCGGGAAATGCGCAAGGGGTGGCGGTGGGGGGCCGGCGGGGCGCGGGGAGGGCGGAAGATGGCGAGGCGGCGGAGGTCGCGGGGAGGGGAGAGGCGGTGGCGGCGTGCGGAGTGGCGTGCGCGCTGGATGTGGAGCAGCTACTGGCGGAGCAGGGGGAAGGGGGAAACGATGGCGGGGACATGCAAATGATGAAGGTAGGCTGGGGGTAAGGGGAGGAACCTTCTCAATGCTTATTGAGAACCTTTGCCAAAAAGGGTACTTATCGAAACTACATACTGAGCAGTCTTGATCGTGCATGATGCATCTCTTTCCTCCCACTTCCCTCCGCCTCTTCCCCCTTCCCCCTTCCCCGTTCCACCTTTCGCCTTCCCCCCTCCCTTGCAGGGCTTCCACTCGCGGCCTCTGCTGGTGTACAAAGCGGAGCAAAGCACTCAGCCTTGTTCCGAACCCGCCAGCACCGCACCAACAAACCCCGACCCTTACTCCTCTGCTCCCTCGCCTGCTGTCACGGCTGCAGCTGCCGCTTCTGCCTCTGCTGCTGCGTCAGCAGCAGCTGCAGCAGCCGCAGCAGCGCCAACGAGCATCAGAAACGGCAGCAGCGGCACTGCTGCAAACGGCATAAGGGAGGAAGGGGAGGAGGCCGGTGGCAGCAACCGCGGCCGCGGCAGCGGCGGCGGGGGGGAGGTGGCGGAGGAGGCGGAGGAGGAGGAAGGGCGGGTGACGGCGGTGGACTTTGTGGTGACAGACGTGGTGTCGCGGGTGTCAGTGGTGGTGCGCGCACAGCACGCAGCGGAGAGCAGCGCCCTTGAGATGGTGCGGCTTCCTAGTGCCAGGCGACGGGCACGCGGCGAGCCATCCAGGTGAGCAACACAGCACCTTGTGTAAGGGTGAGTGGTGGGAGGAGGTGGGTGGGAGGAGGTGGGTGGGAGGAGATGGGTGGGAGGAAATGGGTGGGAGGAGATGGGTGGGAGGAGGTGGGTGGGAGGAGATGGGTGGGACGAGATGGATGGGAGGAGATGGGTGGGGGGAGGTGGGTGGGACGAGATGGATGGGAGGAGATGGGTGGGGGGAGGTGGGTGGGACGAGATGGATGGGAGGAGATGGGTGGGGGGAGGTGGATGGCGAGCCGTTTAGGTAAGAAATGCGCTGGCGAGAGGTTTGGTGTGCAGAAATAGTATTCTGCTGGGTTCCATTCCATGCAGCTCTTCTGTTCCACCCATCCTGCCCGCATCATCTCACACCCCTTTTCCTTCTCTCTCCTCCCCCGCACCCACCGTCTGGTGCATGCAGGCCATTGACAGCAGTGCGAGAGGGCGATGTGGTAACTGCAATTGGGAGCGCCGAGCGGGATCCATATACAGGCACGCTGCAAGTAGTGCCGCTGGTGTATCCGCGTAACATCTCCACCTTTGCGCTACTCTTCGGTTGTCTTCCTTTCTACTTCCCTGTGGTTGTTGGCCGAAAACTCATCGTGGCGTCCCTGTGAGCGTGGTATTAACAGCAGCTGACATATGGCCAAGGTGAATACATGCTCTGCATGCTGACCAAGAATGTAGCGGAGTTAGAGCAAGGTGATGTTCCATGACCTCGTGAAGGCTCATGAAGTCAAATAGTGACGAGGTTGGAGATTGATGTTAGTTCTCCTTGTCGTACATGCTTAGCAGATAGCTAGGTGCATGAGTTTCTTGGTGTGATCTGATATGTCCACACTTTGATATAGCAAATGATCTTTGCTTCTTTTGTTTCCTTGCAAGTGGGCTTGGTCCTTCCTCTTTTCATCCACATTCATAGAGCATTACTGGTACGGGCTTTGTAAGGTGCATACCATATAGTTCCGGCTAGAAGACCCGCCGGTAAGAAGGTCCCCCGGGACACTTGAACGGGTAGGGGGACTCTTATTGTGGCAGATATTGTGAGGACCCCCCCTTGGCCTCTAATCATCATAAGACCCCCCTTTTATGTATAGAGTAGTTGTTATTGCAATTGTGAGTCAGTTTTTACTGGCAAAATTTCGAATTCTGACATGCCTTTTGTGTCAGACTCGAATTCTGACACTTTGATTGTGTCAGACTCGAGTTCTGACAGAAATCTGACGCGCCGCTCGCGCGAAACTTGCAAGCGAAGGCGGTTTTTCGTTACGAATATAAGACCCCCCGTGCCCCAAATTGAGCTGTACACCCTAAATAACAGATTGATATATGATAAATAAGTGTACCCCGGGTCTTAAAAATTTGCAACCGCCATAATGTCCACCCAAGCATATTTTTAAGCATTTGTAGAGAGTCTCCCGGGTCTTCTAGCCGGAACTATACGGTACTATGCAATAATTTGTGTTGGGTATTTCATGCCCATAGTGGTAGCTCCTACACTCTGGCTCTTAATCGCTTCTGTGCTTACACTGTGCCCTTCTCTTAGGGTTGACCACGTGGTCGCAGCATTTCGACGCACGTCATTTGTCGCGTCATTGGCACACGTCGATGTTCTGCCAGGCTGGGATGCATGTAGCTAACAGGTCAAGAATCCGGATCTAAGGGCGCTTCACCTCTCAGTTAGAACAGAACGGTTGTTCGAACAGGCGAAATGTTACAGTTTTCGCCACTCCTCGTATGGGTGTTCGTGACGTCGCTAGTCGGAAATTTCGCGAATTTGAACAGAGTTGTCACACGGGGCACGAAGCTCTCCATTCCGCACGTTCGAACAGAGTTGTTCGAACAAAGTTGGGTTTGGTGACAGGAATTCCGCATGGACGACTGATTTTATTGGTTAGCAGGCTTCGGGTCGCACTCGAATGTTTGCGACCATTGCAAATGTCGCCATGCAGGAGAAAGTTCATCAAAAAGGACATTGTTGTTGGGAAACAACAAGGTGAGCAGCAGTAGAAGAGCACGAAGAGACTGTTTGACTGGATGGGCGAAAAATGAGTCAAACTTGAATGGCAGACGACGGAATTATTTTTTTGCGACGTTTCGCGAAGTCGTCCAGCACTTGGCGACGTCGCATGTTCGAACAGGCTGTCACCTCTAGTCACGAGCTGTCACATTCACCAAGGTGTTCAAATTTGTGTTCGGATCTCGTCGGGAAACTGTTCGTACAGTGAATTCGTTACGTATGTTCGGATTTGGGCCTTCCAGCCCCGAGGTGATGCGCCCTAACTCGAGCAATCGCTACGCACCACATGTACGTGTGCGAGCTCTCATGACCCACACTTTTTCGGTGGTGAGTCTGACTGACCAGGAAGGGGGCAGACGAGATGACACTTGTATTTCCGCAGTGAATGCCATTTCCACACCCAAATTACAAATTTGTTACCACTCTGGCTCTGCAGCGAATTGGCGATATCGCATAACAAATTTCTCGTCGCCGCGCCACTACCCCAGCACCAAGCAGAGTCGTGTCGTGTGAGCGTGCTCCGTTCAGTTCAGAGTATGGTTTCTGGTCCCGGCAGCGCGTCTCTCGTGGGTCCTCTCTCTCCGTCGCCACTGTCGTCGCTAGCGTCGCTCTCGTCGCAATCTCTTTCCATGCGACACTACCGCTGGGCACTACTCGCCATACCCCTCGCGCCCACTCTGATCCTCTCGGCTCCGCGCGCCCACGCCGTTATGGCTTCCGCCTCCGGTCCGTCAACGTCAACGTCAGCGGTTGCTGATCCGTCAAAGTTCGGCTACCGGTCGACGGCGGAAGATGTGACGGCGGGCGTCGATTTGAGCGGCAAAGTGGCAATCGTAACGGGTAAGGGCATCGATGATTCGGTTTCGCCGTATGCAGTAAACGGGAGGAAACGGGAGACAAATTGGAGAGGAACGGGGAGAAACGGGGAAAAGAGGGGGTAATACGGGGGTGAGGGGAGAGAATGTGGATCAGAAATATCCTGCGTGTTTGTGTGGTACGGGAAAGGATAAAAGGGCACGGTAGAAAGGAGGACATGTGAGGGGACGGGGGGGGAGGAGGGGGAGGTGGTGAGGAGTAGGGATGCTTTGATACCGCTGATGTGAGGCACGGGAGCAGCAAGTGCAGCGGCAGTATGAGCTATTCTCTCCCACTCTCCTAGCACCTTCCACTCAACGAGTCTTTACCACCCTTGCATTTCTTTCTCGTCTTCGCCTTTCACAATCAAACTGATCTTTCTTATCCGCTCGTCCGCTCGTCCGCCCGTCTTCTCGTCCTCTCGTCCTTGCCCGTACTTCCACTCCCCTCTCTTTTCCACCCTAGTCTCTTCCCCGCGCCATTGTGAAAAAGCGTGTAAGACGCCTCAAAAGCTGTTTGTGCCATGTCTGAAAAAAATTTCAGTCCTCCACTCCAGCCTTCCTCCTCCCCCGCGCCCAAATTCATTTAGCACTCGCGAATTCCCCTTCCCGCGCGAACCTCGTCCTCGTGCCAATGTTCTCCCCACGCGCGCATGTCGCCCCTCTCTCTTTCCGCCGCGCTGATTTCTTCTTCCTCCCCCTCTCCCGACACCCTTCTGGCGCGAATTTCCTCCCTCCAGGCGGCAGCAGCGGCATCGGCACGGAGACGGCGCGGGTGCTGGCGCTGCGAGGCGCGTCCGTGGTGCTCGCGGTGAGGAACACGGAGGCGGGGGAGGCCGCCAAAGCCGCCATCATCAAGGACATCGAGGGGCGGAGCGCAGCGGCGGCGGGGGTTCCGGCGGCGGTGCGCGAGCGCGTGAGCGTGATGCCGCTGGATCTGGCGTCGCTCAAGTCGGTGCGCGCGTTCGCCGCGGATTACTTGCGCCTTAACCGCCCGCTGCACCTGCTCATGTACGCGCGGAGATGGAGGGGGTGCGGGGGGGAGGGGAGGGGGTGCGGCGGGGAGGGGAGGGGGCGAGGGAGGGGGAGGGGGTGAGTGGGTGAAGAAGGGGGAGGGCAGGGGTGGAACGGGGTGGAGGGGCGGGGGGAGGGGAAAGGGAGGAAAAGGGGGAATGGGGTAAATGGAGGGGAAGTGGGTAAGGGGAAAGGACGGGAAGTCCTTGGTGGGGGGAAAGATAATTTAGTCGAGTCTAAAATGATCTCCTGTTGGTGCTGCCTCACTGCCATGCTGCCCCACTGCCATGCTGCCCCACTGCCATGCTGCCCCACTGCCATGCTGCCCCCATCACATCACACCTCCCTCCTTCCCTCGCTCCCTCCCTCCCTGCTTCCCTGCCTACCTACCCATTATGCTAGTCATTCTACTTTTTCTCCTTATTTTATTCCGCTCGTTCAGACCTTCCCCCTCTCCCCGAACCCACCCCACCGTCCCCTTTCCTTCGTCACTTCCTATGCAACAACCCCCCACTCGCCCGCCCAACCAATCCCACCACGGCCCACCCAACCTCAACCAACCCCCCCCCATCCCACCCCACCCCGGGCAGCAACAATGCGGGCGTGATGATATGCCCGTTCATGCTCACTGCGGACGGCCATGAGAACCAGTTCGGCACCAATCACGTGGGTGAGTGCAGGGAGGCAACCACGTGGGTGAGTGCAGGGAGGCAACCAGTGGGTGAGTGCAGGGAGGCAACCACGTGGGTGAGTGCAGGGAGGCAACCACGTGGGCGAGTGTATGGGAGTAGCGACCATGAGGGTGAGTGCAGGGGAGCAGCAATGACGTGGGTGAGGCAAGCAAGCAGATTACATGCGCACAGCATGGGTGGCGGGGTGGAGTGTGAGGGAAGAATGGGAGTGGTGGGAGTGAAGCAGAGTCTACCAGTTGGCTGTTCTCTTTCTAGGCTCGAGTGCATTTGTTGCATTCCTAAGCTCATGGAGCTCTCAGGCTGATCGCACCACACCTCCACTGCCTCCCTCTCCCCCTTTCTTCCGTCCCTCCGCCCCCCCTCCCCCCCTCTTCCCTTCCATCCCTTTCCCCCCTTCCCCCGCACACATCCCCCACCCAATTGCATCGCACGTCGTACCCCCTTTAGGCCACTTCCTGTTGACCAACCTGCTGCTGCCGAAGCTCAAGGAAACCGCCAAGCAGGAGGGCGCAGAGGCGCGCATCGTGATCGTGTCCTCCGCCGCCCACCAGTTCCCGTACCCGGGCGGCATCCGTTTTGATGCCATCAACGCCAAGTAGGGGTACGACTCCATGAGGGCGTACGGGCAGTCCAAGCTCGCCAATATCCTGCACGCTCGGGAGCTCGCACGGCGGCTCAAGGTGCGTGGCTGTGGGAGAGGAGGGTGTGTATGAAGGAGCGGGTGTGTGTGGTGGGTGGGTGGGTATGCATGTGTACAGGAATGTGCGCGCGTGTTTGTATGAGTGGGAGGGGAAGTGAAGATGTAGGCAGGGAAAACGCGCTGGGAAAACTTTTTTCTCTTTGATGCCAGTCTTAAATTCCTCACCAAATATCGCTCCCTCCTCGTCCCCACTCTCCCAACCCTCTCCTTTTGAAAACCCCTGTACAGGTATGACTGTGATTGCTCTGTACCCAGGGGTGATCGACCCTCAACAGAGGCAATCTCCGTTCTACTCACCAACACCCTCCCTCACCCTCCTTCTTCCCCTCTCTCCCCTTCCTGTCTCTCCCTTTATGCATGCGAGCAGGAGGAGGGTGCAGGAGTGACAGTGAACGCATTGCACCCGGGGGTGATTGACACCAACCTCTCACGCCACACAGTGCCGCCAGGGACCATCTGGCACACCCTCGGACGTATGTCAGGGGTGGGCGGGCCGGTGGGTGGGTGCGTGGGTGGGTGGGCAGGTTGGTGGGTGGGAAGGGCATACTGCGTTTGGCATGCCACATTGGGTCCGCGGAACCCCTGGTTTGCTGCGGACCAAGCAGTTCAGTCTGTGGACCAGCTGTGAACCAGCTCATGGACCAGGCAAGTGCAGGCATAGTTACCATGCATCACAACTGGTCCAAGGCCTGATCTGTCGGGTCCGAGCCTTTTCTGGAGGTCCGCCACGGAAAATGGCAGGGGCTGATGCTGGTCCGTCAGACCAGTCCACGAAAGCAAGTGAGACGTGGTTCGGATCTGGTCTGTCGGTCTGACCATCCCTTCGTCGGCGGATTACGGGTTCGGTGGACAGAATGTCTGCTGTGGTATAAGGCAAAGTCTTTTGCGCCACAGAGTGCTATCAGGGTCTATCGGGCACACCCTGGGACATAGTTGATGGGATGGGCGGGTGGGTGGGTGGGTGGGTGGGCGGGTGGGGTAGAAAGAGGGGGATGGGGGGCATTTGATGGGCTGATGGGTTGATGGAGGCTGTTTGGCCCTGTCTTGGACGTACCAGCATGATTGAGTGCATGCGTTCGATCTTCGTCCACAGTAATCCCTGCTCACTGCTTGCAGCCTGCTTCTGCGTGAGCTTGGCTGAGCACCCATTGCTGTCTGTACAGAAGTCTTGTGCCCTTGTGCCTTTCCACTGCCGCCTTGCGATTTTGTGCAACCAACCACCAGGGGGGGCGTACAGCCTGGTGTTCCAGTGGTTCATGAAGACCATTCCTCAGGTAAAAGTCCAACTCTGCTGCAAGAATGATCATGAGTGTGATCAGAGCCGAGCTGCCTCTACTTTACCAACCCCTCACCCCTCCTCACCTCACCTCACCTCACCTCTCCTCACCTCACCTCACCTCACCTCACCTCGCCTCACCACTGCCACCTTTCACTGCTGCATGGTTGGGTGCCAGCACATCCCCATGTTCATGTGGACACTGCTTGCAACGAAGCCCAATGGGGCTACTTCTCATGCTCCATTACCTTCCAACCTTTCCCCCTCCTCCCCCTTCCTTCCACTCAAGCCACACCATCCTGCGTCCTTCACCATTTTCTGGTGCGAGCTCCTTCCGCCCATCCCCCTCTTTCCTCTCACACACTCCTTCCACCTCCACCTAACCACCTCTTATCCTCAACCACTCCCCTTTCTTTCCCTCAGGGTGCAGCCACGTCATGCTTCCTTGCAGCGCACCCCTCAGTGGCGGGTGCGAGTGGGGGCTACTACGCAGACTCGCGGGCAGCAGAGGGCAAGGCCACAGCGCTGAGCAAGGACATGGAGCTGGCTGGGAAGCTGTGGGAGCTCAGTGAGCAGGTGGCCAGCAAGCAGTGATGCTGGATGGTGTGGTGTGAGGGAGGGAGTGGAAGAGTGTGGGACAGGGGTGGGAGTGGACGAGAGTGGGAGTGTAGGTGTGAATGAATGACCTTGGAGTTTGATGCTTGCGCAGATGCGCGTCCGATCCGAAGCACAGCAAGTACCGCATGTGTAACTGGTAAGTGAGGAGCTGTGGGAGGGAGAAGTCCTGGGCTTAGCTCAGATGCTGGGAGAGGATATACGTGGCAGGCAAGGTCACTTGCTACCTGATGGTCGTTACAGTACTTAGTTATTGTAAGTAGAGGAGCTAGCATCCTGTACCATAATCTTTGTTTTCAATGTGCTAGCTGACGAGAGTCTTCAAGGCTAAAACTGGAATTCGAGTACCGTAACCTTGGGCTTTGAATCAGGGCCCTCTTTTGCAGGGTACTGCTAGGTATTTTACTCTCATACCGTATTGTGCTGCAGCTGCCACACTTGGTATGGTTAGACATTCTCAGCCCACCACCTATTGTACACCATTCTCTTTTCGAAAACAAATTCGTTACATGAGAAAGACAAAGATTGAGGGTTAAGAGCATATGCTTTTTATCCTGCTTTTTCTTCATAGGCAAGTTAAGAGAGTTGATTACAAGCACCTTAGCAAAGGAGAAGGCAAAAAACCATAAGCCCCAACCATAAACCATGAGCCCCACGCAGCATCAGTCTCAGATGCTGAATGCTTGGCAATACTGCGTTTTCTTTTGTTTCTTTCCAGTCAGGCTGGGAAAACAAATGCCACGTTGACCGCGATGTGCAACTTGTCAAATGTTGTAGCCTGTAGTGAGGTTTGTCTTAGGGGGTACAGAAGTTAGGGTTTGTCATCTGTACCCCAACCAACATCAATGCAACACTCATTCCTCATTCTGACATGGTATCAGCTAGGTTAGGATCCTGTGGGATCCCGTTCCTCCGTTCTCCGTTCGTACCTCCCGAGCCTGATCCTACCTCTCGTTCGTACCAGTTTCGTAGTTACCGCGCCTAGTACCGAGCCTAGCGTCATCTCCCCCGTCGCGTCACGCCTGTTCCCCCCCCGTCGCGTCACGCCCGTTCCCCCTGTCACGTCGCGCCCGTTCCCCCCGTCGCGTCGCGCCCGTTCCCCCCGTCGCGTCGCGCCCGTTCCCCCTGTCGCGTCGCGCCCGTTCCCCCCCGTCGCGTCGCGCCCGTTCCCCCCGTCGCGTCGCGCCTGCCTGTTACCCCCCCCCGTCCCGTCGCCCTGTCCCGTCGCGTCGCCCTGTCCCGTCGCCCTGTCCCGTCGCCCTGTCCCGTCGCGTCGCCCTGTCCCGTCGCGTCGCCCTGCCCTGTCCCGTCGCGTCGCCCTGCCCTGTCCCGTCGCCCTGTCCCGTCGCGTCGCCCTACCCCGTCGCGTCGCCCTGCCCTGTCCCGTCGCCCTGCTCCGTCGCGCCGCCCTGCCCCGTCGCGTCGCCCTGTCCCGTCGCGTCGCCCTGCCCCGTCGCGTCGCCCTGACCTTTCCCCCGTCGCGTCGCCCTCCCTAGGCCCTGGCCTGTCGCCCTTCCTAGGCCCTGGCCCGTCGCCCTACCCTAGGCCCTGGCCCGTTGCCCTACCCTACGTCTTGGCCCGTCGTCCTAGCCCACTCTTCCGCTGCGACTGAGTCCTCTTCCCCCCCCGGTTGTTACTCGCCTGTTCGTTCTCACTATGGCGACTCCGCGAGTTCTTCGTTTCGACGCCGACGGTAGACCCCTTGACTTTTCCGTCTGGCTTCTTCGCGCTCGTCGTCTGTTAGAGAGTCAGGTCCAGGGGGGCGAGACCCTCTGGTCACACGCTACTGGTGACCTCCCCGAGCCCCCCGAGCCTACAGCTTTAGGCCCTGCTCCTGACGATGCTGCTACGGCTCGCTTTGCCCGTCAGCGCGCTGACCGGACGGCTTGGACGTCGCGTGACGCTGCGGCCTGCATCGCACTCAGCAGCCTCCTCCCTGAGTCCGAGGAGGTCCACTTTACTCAGGTTCGCACCGCTGCTGCGTACCTCACTGCGATTAAGGCCCGCTACTCTACTCCCGCTACTGTCTCTCTCGGCCGTCTTTTCCTCCCGTTCCTGTTTCCTGATCTTGCCTCGTTTGAGCGCTCTGCTGACTTGATCGCTCACCTCCGCTCGCTTGACGCTAGTTACCGCGCTGCTTGCACTGAGGCACAGCTTGCACTGCTTCCTCCCCCCATGGCGATTACTGTCTATTTCATCGCCACTAGCCTCCCTGACCGCCTTGCCTCCGTTCGTGACGCGCTTCTGCTGAAGCACCCTAGTGAGCTGACTATCGAGGTCCTTGAGTCTGCACTCAAGGATGTCGAGAGCAACCTTCGTTCGGTAGCTGCCGCCTCTGGTACTGTATCCCCCCCACTCTTCCACGGGTGCACAGTCCCGCAGTTACCCACCTTCACTGCCTCTCTTGCCACTGCCGCTACTGACGCGACTGCGGCTGCTGTTACGACTGCGTCGCGGTCCCGCGGCAGGGGGGGCAAGAAAGGTGGTTCCGGTGGAGGTGGAGGCGGAGGTAGCGGAGGTAGTGGGGGTGCTGTTGCGACTGGCGGTGGTGGGAGTGCAGCGTCTGGAGAGACCCCTCGTGCAGCGGCCGGTGACTCCACTGCACCTGCTGGTGGCAGCGACCCTCGAGCTCGTCAGTCGCCTCCTGTACTGTCGGCCCCGCTAGGTGGAGCAGCGGCGTGGTACCAGGCTCAGCGTCAGCAGCACCTTCAGCAGCAGCAGCAGCCCCTTTCCTCCCAGCAGCCTCAGCAGCAGCAGCGTCAGCAGCTGGCTCCGGGGTCGGGGCTGCGTCAGCCCCAGCGCGGTGCTGCTTACCCTCCCTGCCCCTACCAGGTTCAGACAGGTCCTCGTCGGGGCCACCCTTGTGGCCGCTTTCACCCCCCTGGTCAGTGCTTTGCTCAGCTCACTGACACGGTCCGGTTGACCTACGGGGTTGGCGGTCCTGCTCCTGACTGGCTTCCTCTGGTTCAGCGCTACGGCTCCGCTCTGTGGGGCATGTCTGCTGAGCAGTTAGTTGATCTGATTAGTGCTCCTCATGCTATGTATGCTGTTGTTGACTCTAGTGTTTCTGACTCTGTTTACTCTGGTGTTGTTAGCTTAGGTGCTAGTCTTGCTGAGTTGCCTGTTGCTAGTGTAGGTACTTGTGTAGACTCTAGACCAGCGACTACCTCAGAGGACGCTTCGCTGTCGTTCACACTGGACTCTGGAGCCTCCCACTGCTTCTTTCGGGACAGCACGACACTTACACCACTTCCTGCGCCTGTTTCTGTAGCGTTGGCTGATCCCACTACGGGACCAGTCACTGCACGTCACACTACCACTTTACCGTGTCCTGCTGCTCCCTCCGGGTCTCTCACTGGGTTTCACGTCCCCTCGTTCTCCCGGAACTTGGTGGGCGTGCGACCCCTCGTGAGCCAGCACGTGGGTGTGTGGTTTGAGCCTTCTGGAGAGACTGCGGTGTGTGTTGACGGAGACTCTTACCAGCCTCTTGCTACCTTTACTGCTGAGCCGGGCTCGGGTCTCTACACTCTTCACACTGGCCCGCGTGCGCCGCAGCAGCAGCCGCAGCAGCAGCAGCAGCCGCAGCCGCAGCAGCAGCAGCAGCAGCAGCACCAGCGGCCGCACCAGCAGCCCCCCCTACTGCCACTGCCCCCGGTTCCCCCCCCCGTTCGGGTCCCCGCGTCTCACCAGGTTGCTACGTCCCCCCAGGTGTCTGTGTCGTGTCAGGTTCCTCCGTCTGTTCCAGTCGCTGCGTCGTGCTCCTGCCGGTCGCTTGCCCACCCCACCGTTCTGTGGCACCACCGGATGGGGCACCCGTCCCTTCCACGTCTGCGCGCTATGTCTAGTCAGCGTCTTGTCCTAGGCCTCCCACGTGTCTTGCCGTCGCTGCCGCCTTCGCCTGCGCCGCCGTGTCGTCCCTGCGTCGAGGGTAGGCTGCGCGCCACCCCTCACTCCTCCTCCCTTCGTCCGGCCACCGAGCCTTTTGAGACGCTTCACTTGGACGTCTGGGGCCCAGCCCCTCGTCTAGGCCCTGAGCGTGAGCGTTACTTTCTGGTGGTCGTTGACGACTTCTCCCGCTACACCACAGTGTTCCCTCTGGCGAAGAAGTCTGAGGTGACTTCTACGCTGATCAGGTGGTTGCTCACCACCGAGGACACTCGTGGTCGTCGTGTCAGCTGTCTCCACTCCGACCGTGGGGGTGAGTTTCGCTCCGGCATTCTCGCTGGATTCTGTCGCGAGCAGGGCATTCGTCAGTCCTGGACGCTTCCAGAGTCCCCACAGCAGAATGGGGTTGCTGAGCGCCGCATAGGCCTGGTCATGGAGATCGCCCGCACCTCCCTGACTCACGCCTGTGCCCCCCATTTTCTGTGGCCCTACGCGGTCAGGTACGCCGCGCACCAGCTGAACCTCTGGCCACGTGTCTCTCGACCAGAGGTTTCACCGACCAGTCTTTGGACAGGGTTCCCTGGTGTTGCGTCGCGGTTTCGTGTCTGGGGGTGCTTGGCTCTTGTCCGCGACACCTCCGCGGACAAGCTCTCGCCTCGTGCCGTCCCCTGTGTCTTCCTTGGTTTCCCTGAGGACTCCTCTGACTTCACCTTTTACCACCCTCCCTCTCACCGGTTCTTTGACTCCCGTGACGTCCGTTTCGAGGAGTCCACTCCGTACTACGTCAGGTACCCCAGTCGAGGTCTCCCGGTTCCTCCTCCCCCCCTCTTCCTGACTGCCGTTCCCCCTCCTGCTCCCCCGGTACAGCCTCCCCCCCCTGGTCCAGCCCCGTCAGGTGTGTCCCAGGCTACCCCTCCTCCTTCGGTAGCCCCTCCGGTACAGCCTCCCTCCCCACAGTCCTCCTCGCAGCGTGCCGCTGGTGCTAGCTCTCGAGAGGTTGGTGCGACGCCTGTTCCTGTACCGGTTTCTGGTTCTGGGGGTGCTGGAGTTAGAGCTGGAGTTGGAGCTGGAGTTGGAGCTGGAGTTGGCACTGG